AATAATACAATATGGAAAATAAAATGCACTTTACCCCTGCTCCTAAGAAAAATGTAAATACGGAACCTACAAATTAAATTAAATAAACATAGCATAGTTTTAATTGACCAATAATCATATTTTTATTTCATTTATCAATATAATTAAAAATTACCAAAAGCATCTATAGCTAAAACGGAAACATTAAAATCCTTTTGTATTACAACAAGAGCGGGAAAGTGTATCCTAAAATTTTAAAATTTAAAAATTTAAAAAGCAAGAATGTTAAACAATTGGTCATAGAACCGCTTAGAAATGCAATAACCAATCTTATTAGTTCCATTCTTAAGGATCTTTTGCAGCATATATGAACCCACTTTATAATCAATTGATTAATAATGCATTTTATTAAAAGAGTCAATTATACCGCAAAAGGTCCTCTCCAAGCCTTAAGACTAGATTATTGACCACAACAGATAGACCACTCATAACATTTTTATCAGCGATGTAATGATTAGGGCCTGAAATGCCGGCACGGTACTATTAGAATATATTACAATCAGACCTCCCTAAATGCATAGTCTATTATGGTCCTGTTTGGCCCAACTAACATAATGCATACACTATAGATTGCTACCTCCCTAAATGCCACACCTCCATAAATGCAATGTTTTCATATAGGTCCCCTTGGCTATGCATTTAGGGAGGTCTGACCACATATAGAGGGGAAATGCATAATACGTGCCTTGTATTACAGAACCCTAACGGTTACATATCGGTATAACTCGTGACCTTATAGGTCTTATAGGTGACAATTGTCTAACGATAAATTTCCTAATCGGATTCACCGGTTCAGACAATTTTTTCAATTTCAAGCTCTGGGATAACATTAGTCGATAGGATCGACAAATTATCGACATCAGTAAAATTTTTAGTTTTCCCAGAATTTGAGCATTGATTCAAAACATAATGTTAACTAATCATTAAGAAAAACACTCACGTTCCCGCAATAGGTGTCGATATTCCGCAGATAGTAACGATACTCAAAATTAACAATTTATTTTTTGAAGACCAATTTGTTGGATCATCAGCATAATTCAAATTTTCGTTTACAGCCGAATTATCATTAACTAATATTTTAATTGAATTTTAAAGATTAAATTAGATTTACGGATATCATTTTGTTTTTTCATCACTTGACTTTGGTCAAATAATTTAAAAATGGTGTATTTCAGTTTTACCATCATTTTTTTCATTTTTGGAAAAGTTTGGCACGTAGATTTCATGAGTGGCTTTCTCAAGTTCCAGAGAAGCTTCAAAAGGTAAATTTTCAAGTTTTAAAACCTGATCCTTAGAATCTTTAATAAGAATCTTGATTTAATAATGAGTCTATATATAAAGAAAAGGTTTGGTATTATTTCTTTCTATACCTAAAATATTTGTTGAATTTGTTATTTCCATTGCGATAAGAAAACCAAGAAATTAATTAAACCTTTTAACCTTATACAAAACACAAAATATATTCTGTTGATACATATATTGCATATGGATTAACTTTTATCCAGTGTAACGAATTCAATTTTATAATCTTACCCTTTTGGTGTAATTGATTATTTAACTAAATTAGTACGTATCGTAATTGTTAAAACCTTCGAAGGAGGCAGTGTGCATATTGACACATGAGGCTAACACAATAGCGTGGCGCCTCTGATGTCATAAAGTAGGTTCCTAATCGAAATGTATAAAAGTGAAGCATTAACTATAATAAACGAGAAGAACCTCTTTCTCATAATAAAGTAACCCGGACATAATGATATTCTCTCCT